CACATTATTCTCCTCCCAAATTCCCAGTTCTGAGATGGAAAAGACCCTCCCTGGGTCCTTGCAAGTATTGAGGACCCTCTGCAGAAATGGACTGAGTCACTGGAGTGACACATTCTTGTTCCGTCACAGTGAGGTTGGGAGGGCTCCTTAGAGAGTGAGAGCTGTTACCTCAAGCGAGTTGTGGGGAAAATTCAGAGTAAGACGTAAGACCCTCTTCTCCAAAGACAACCTGCTGCTTCTGCTTTGTAATCGATCTTGGGGAGCTAAGACAGACAGAGAAGGAAAACACAGTCGTGTGCTAAGTCAACTCCGCCTTGGCTTCCCCTCTGAGTATTGATCCCTGCTGAGTCGTGGCCCCTGGGGGTGGCCTAGGCTCTGACCATGCAGCTACCCCCCCTACATTCCTCCTTGCCCCAACATATGTTATCGCCCAGCCTTCTACTTGAGTGCCTTATCCTCTCAGAATGCTTGGCCCTCCAGTCTGGAATGGGTCCTTCCTGGCTGTTCTCAAGTTTCTTTGGGCTTCAGCCAAATCAGAGGACGCTCTCTCTGTAGCATAATTATTCTTTTACATCCCTGTCTTCTCCATCAACTGATCAGGAAGGCAGGTATCAAGCCCTGTCTTCCCACCTCAATGCTTTGCCTATAGATGGAATACAGTTTGTTACTTGAACAAATGGACACATCTTTATGTAGAACAGGGAGCTGATGTTACACAGAAATTAAAGACATAGTCTGCCACTTGCTTGCCGAGTGACTTTGGACGAACACTCTGAGGCAAAATTTCATGCTCTGTAGATTGAGAGTAATGAAATACCTGCTATACAGGGAAACATCAAGCTTTTAGTTAGTTTTCCACATTAAAAAAAACTTAGCCATAAATTACTACAAACAATATGAGCTCAAACAATGTTATCTATAATAACAGAGATGAGTTGTTGATAGCTGTGAGAGTTATTGTGATCATCATCTGCCCTGATTTTTTTCACCTTGGAGTCAGAGATTTCTACCTTGTCAGGGAAGAACCCAAGACCAAGGGCTGTCTCTTTTCTTTCCTTTGAACGAGCCAGGAGTCACACCCAAGTCATGGCCTCACACCCTTGGACCATCTGATCACATGTGTATCTGAAATGTTCCTCTCTGGTTTTCCTCACACCTATGTCAGGAGGACTGATCAAGTTACCTAGAAATAGTAGCCTTTGCCTTCCGACTGATTGCAATCTTCCAAACACAGGAGTTTCTGCAAAGAGGTATGTCAAGCCTCACAGGTCCCATTATAAGCTTTTCTTGGCTCCTGTCGCTGCATATTGTTCTCTGCAGTTTTTCTTTTTGCCTGTATGCCAGGGGAAAAGAAAAGCTCTATGGTGCCAAGAATAAAGAATCCGAGAGTTATCTGCAACACAGGGCTTTCAAGGGTGTCAAACAATGTGGGAATTCTTCTTCAGGGCCTGGGTGTTATGGTCTAAACCTCCTCCTGAAAAACAAGTTCAGGAGGGTCTTTCCTGGAGGTCATGTGAGGCTTCCCCAGTCCCCACAGAAAGTTGATCCTAAGTGAAGGTGCAGCTTTCCATAGAGAAAGACAATGTTTGAACTTGACAATCAAACATTGAGTTGAGGAAGTCCAGGCTGAAAAACAGTAGAATCCTTCTCTCATTGCCCTGCAGAGCAACACAATCCCCTTGCCCCACCTTTCGCCAAGAACATTTGCTACCCTTCCAGATGTGTGTCACTTTGGACACAGATCACATATTATTTGGTGTGCATATTTTTTTCAGTATTGATCTACTTTTATGCAACCCAAGAGACAATCTTTTGAATGCCTGTTATATGTCAGACCCTTTACTGAAAGTTTTGCAGCTCTTAGCTCATTGATTCCTAAAATACTGTAAGATAGTTATCATTAATCCCATTTTACAGATGATAAGACCTGCTTAGCAAAGGTTAATAAACGATTTGCCAAAGAACATAGTCACCAAGGGGGAGAGAGGAGAAGAGGTCTGCTAACAATGCATGTATGCATGTGTGCTCAGCTGTGTCAGACTTTTTGCAACCTCATGGACTGTAGCCTGCCAGGCTCCTCCGCCCAGAGAATTTTCCAGGAAAGAATACTGGAGTGGGTCACCATTTTCCTACTCCATTAATAATAGTCTCCAACTTTATTCTAAGTTTTCAAAAAGTAAGAAACATTCTTCCACTATCTTATTTTCTATAACAAAGTATGTGGTTATGTATGCAAATAAGCATAAGACATGTAACAAGTGATCTCTTATTTAAAACATAATTTCTTTTTCCTATAAATAGCCAGCTATATTTATCAACTATATGCCCCCCCCCCCCACACACACCCAGCAGACATGTTCTACACACGTGAAGATTTAGATAATGTTTAAAATCTTTATAAGAAACCCTCTTATTCAAGGGAAGGACAGCATTCACATTTACATTGCAGAATATAGCTCCTAAAATCTGGATCGAAACAGGGCCAAACACAGATTTTCAGTCAGGAAGCTGGGATCCAGTTCTGTTTCTGCTATTGGTCTGGGAATATGACTAAATCTCCCTGCCTTTGGGGAATCTTCATTTATAAAATGGTTATGCTGGTCAGTGGTTCCCAATTATTGGCCCATGATGAAGCTTTCATCAGTCTGTACTGAAATGAAAAAAACAAAAACAATGGGCTTATTTGTATAAAATCATTTGTTTTATAAATCTGTGAAAAATGGCTAGCTTTCAAGTATGTTGTCTACAATAAAACCCTGATATTTAAAATATATATTTATTTTTACAGGTCCACGAATCCAAAGATCTGGGAACCCTAGCCTAGGTGATCACTATCATCTTTTCTAGCTTCAAAATTCTATCCTCTTCATAAATGACAAATGATATTTAATTAACTTTAAAATAGGAAGGCAAAAAGAAAAGAAAAAAAACTTATCTTTTTTCTTATTTAGTTCTGTTCTTCCTCAAATGTGAACGTTAAGCCCCTGGCAAGATATTATAAACTATTCCACTAGAAAAAAGATTCTTAGTTAAATGAGTTTGGGAAACAATCAGTTGAAAAAGTGAGACAGTTTTCTTCACTGAGAAATTTTCAGAACCTGTCAAGTTCTAAAATCTGCTAACTCCCCCAGAACAGAAAAGCATGAATGGTCCCCAAGTTACTGATGGGGAACAGATGCCTGCCCCAAACCCCTTCTGAGGACAATACTCCTATTCCAGGAATGCAGTTTGAGAGAGGTGACTTCCTCTAAAAGAAAGACCCTCAACAGCTTCAGTGATGAAGACAAAACACAGCATTAGTGACAAGGAGACTTGCCATTTACTTTATATTAACTTGATAGTTTTTTCATTACTGAGTCTATGGGGTTTTTTTTTAATTACGAAAGAAACCTGGATGAAAATACTTCAGATTAAAGTACAATGGACAAGACATTTATTTTGTGGCTATTTTTAACAATTTTCTTTTTACCATAACAAATAAAGGAAGATTGTATCAAGAGATTTGTATCTAGTGATTGCAACATGATAATTAAAACATTTGGAATTTGCAAAAGTCTGCAGTCACAGAATCATGGCTATCACCCCTACACAGTAAATACAAGGTAAAATAAAACCATCTGTAGGTATTAAGCCTGAGAAAATCTGCAGACTTTTCTCAGATGGTGAATCCTTGTTAACTATCTTAGCAGTAGGAATAATTAATTCTGAATGCTTGAGGCTCCTGATGAACTTATTTAAACACTTTTCACAATGATCGAGAAACAAAATACTTGATAGAAGAAAAATATCTAATAGTGTATATTTTCATCTTAATTCTTTATTTATTTTTGCAGAATTATCTTGGAGTTGAGAAGGTTTACTCAGCCTTTTTTATTGCTTTTTACATCATCATGTGAAATATCAACGAGCCAAACCCTTCAGCCTTCACACTCTGGATTCAAGTTTCACTTAGCACGCTGAAGAGAATGGTTTTCACTTGGGACAAGATGATCTTGGAGCAAATCAGCCGGAGGGAGGACCTAGCAGGATCTTTGGATATTCTGACCTGAACAACCTTTCTTTCCAACTCTGAGCACAGCAGGGTTTTGACAAGCCTGTGGCTCCATTGTCTCTGATATTTTCCATCATAACTGTATGATAAATTCCAGCCTGTTTTTTCCTAATCCTGCTGACTACAGCAGTCTGCAACCATAAAAAGTTTTCACAGACTTGGAGTTGGCTTAGAGAAGTGCCTCGGCAAAAGAACAAAAAAAAAAAAAAAAAAAGAGCAACATTTATGTTCAAAGACAGGAGAGAGGCAACCTTTGCTTTTGGTGGTGATGGGCTCAAGAGGTGGTTTTTAGGGTCTATTTAAGACACTTTCCTTTTCTTCTGATGACATTTGTAAATAGAATACCAACACTAAAATGAGAACAATTGAGCCAGGGAAAGGGGGGATGTCGTGTCCAACAGATCAAACCCTATTCCAAACTCCACCAGAGAAAGTGTCTACACAATAGCTCATGACCATCCTTCATTGGTGAGCCTGCCTAGAATCCTTCAGCCTCCAAGCTAACAGGTATGTGTGAGGTTTACACAAAATGATTCTAGGTTTCCAACTAGCTTCTTTCAAACATTCAGCTAGCACTGGTTTAGTCTCTGAGGGATAAAAACATCAAATGAGTCTTTTCAACAGACTACAATACCCATCTATATAATACAATTCAATATACAAGTGCTGTAATTGGAAACTACACCATTCAAGCTACCGTGAACACAGCTAAACACAGAAGGAAGTTGGTTTGCATTTTTTGCAATAAAGAGATGCCACTGAAAAGCACATAGCAGAAGAGGGGGGAAAGAAAAGCAAAAGTTTAAGCGACTTCTTCATACATTTGAATTGTGACTCTCCGAGAACTCAAATCCCCCCGTCTGGCAAAGCAGATCACATTTAATCTCAACATTTAAAAGCTAGTATCTCAAACATCATTTTGAAAACACAAAACATCATAGCTACTTGCCTTTAGGCAATTTCTGTGCATTTCCCAGGGCTAGTGCAACACTTCCACAGAGAAGTAGACACCCCAAGCTGGAGGGCATGTTGCATTTGCCACCTCACACGGGCAGTGATTCTGGTGGGGGTCCCGCAACCCTGGAGCTGCATTTAAGTGGACTGTCTCCTGGTGACAGAGGCGGGCGGCTGCACTTAGCTGTGCCGTGGGCTTACTCACAGGGGGTGGAGACAAAATGACATCACACCCTTTCCCACACACACACCAAAAAAAAAAAGAGAGAGAGAAAAAGGCATAACAGCAAAAAACCTATCATCACATTTCCTGCTAGGTTGTAACTGTCTGTCTCTTCTCTCCCCTCTATGACATAAAACTTGGAACTATGGTCAATATATATTTCTGAAAGAAAAAGTATTTGGGGAATTTTGAAACATGATAAACTTTTTAAATATCAAAACAAGATATCCTTAAAACCAGTGGAATGTTAAAAATATAAAATAAAACTGTATTAGGAAGAAAACATTTTCATTATCTAGTGTAGAGAGGAAAGTCTTAGTTGCTCAGCTGTGTCCCACTCTTTGTGACCCCAGAGACTGTAGCCCAACAGGCTCCTCTGTCCATGGGATTCTCCAGGTAAGAATAGTGGAGTGGGTAGCCATTCCCTTCTCCAGGGGATCTTTGCGACCCAGAGATTAAACCCAGGTCTCCTGCATTGCAGGCAGATTTTTTTTTACCATATAAGCCAGCAGGGAAGCCCCAATTCTTCTTTCAAATGAAAGTAAACTTCCAAAAATTCAATCTGAACCATTTTGAAGTTCCAGTATCGTGAGAAACTTTTAAGAGAAAGTCATTGGCTACACAGGTATTCATAACACACACGGGCATACATAGATATATACACAGATACATACAAACGGTTAGTCTACAGATACAGAGACACAGAGGAATAACTAGCATTAGTTGATCCCCAGCTCTGGGACAGGCTCTGTAATAGTGTCTTTACCTATGTTACTGCATTTTAGTCCTCACACTGATTACACAAAGGATCTTATATTATCCCAGTTATAGTCCACCTGTGAGAAAAACTGAGCCCCAGGGAGGTTAAGAATCCTGACCAAATCCATGTATTCTAATGGTTAACAATTTGGATGGGCATTGGAGTGAAACTGACTGGGTATAAACTTGGATGATGTGTGCCTTCGAAGAAATGTCTCCATCTTAATTTCTCATCAACATTGGTTACATTAATGGGCTTGCCCCATGCCCAGCACTTACCTGATCAATTCACATTTACTTATATTTATTCCTCAAAATAATCCAGGAGACAGGCACCACCATTACCCCCATTTTACAGACAGAGAAACTGGACTCAGAGGGGTTAAGTGAAAGGCCCAAGGTCACCCAAGCAATCAAACTGGCATTTTATTTCTTAAATTGTGGCCCTATTTATTTATTTTACTTGTTGGCCATGTGGCATGGGGGACTTTAGTTCCCTGAGCAGGGATTAAACCTGCAGTCTCTGCAGTGGAAGCACAGCATCTTAACCCCTGGACCACTGAAGAAGTCCCAGAGCTGGCATTTTAAACAGATGATTTAACCCCAGAACTTCCACTGTTCATTATTAAACTTTAAATTAAAAAATGGAGATGACAGTACCAAATTCACAAGTTTGCTAGCGGCACTTTTGGACCGTGTGTACCAGAGTGCCTCGTTCACAGGAAGTATTTAATAAATGATAATCAATGAAAACAACAAAAGTAATGACAATAGTACATCCCCCAATAAGCAGAACTCTGGTTCTAACCCAGGTACATCGACCTCCAAAGCCTAGGTGTGTCCTCTCCCTCTATATCACATGACCCTAAATATAGACATTGCTAGAATGACCAGGCTGATAAAGGACTTCAAACGTTGTCAGTACATTTATGTCAACCCTTTGAAAACAGCTTATTTCACAAGTTTGCGGTAGCTGAACCAAAACAGTAAAAGGAAAATGGAATAATGGGGGTCCAGTGAAATTCCAGTGAAAAAACTTACTGAAATAAAAAAAGAAAAATTGAAGAGACAGCCCCATCTTCCAAATAAAGCGTGAGAAGCCACATTGTTAAAGTCATTTAGAGCTGGCCCGGGCTAAGCTTTCAGCACAGGAATGCTCTGGCACCAGCTACAGGGGGAGGGGGGATTGGATTATTCAACAGGTCTTTTTCGTCTGTAATTTTTTACTTGAATAGGCAGCTCTCTCAAACCCCAGTTCAGACATTCATCCAGCTGGCATTGCTGACTCTGCTTCTATATCCATTGCCATCGTGTTAAGCCAGGGAGGCCACGGTACTAGCAGAAAATGACAGGTTCTTTTGGGGGGGGGGGACAAAAAAGAGCAGAAATATTGAAAAGAAGGCTGGTTCTTCAAAACATTGAGGGGCGGGCCTGGAGGGTTAGGTAATGGAATTCAAGCATCAGCGTCTGCTTGGCCTGCAGGCTAAATCAGGTCTACATTAGCAATGGTTATTTGCAGATTGGAACTGACTGGGGGCTAATTAAACAAAGGTCAGTCTCCGATCAGTATTTTGTCAGAAAAAGTTGGTAGCATGACTCTCCCAGGCAGGACAGGGGACATTCAGTGAAGACACAGGAAGTACAGAGCTCACCTCACGTCTGGGAGGAGGCAGGTCCTGAAGAAACCAACCGTGTCAGAGAAGCCATTTTACCTTTTCAACAAACATAAAGTGTTCCGAAGTGTCAGAGTCCCAACCCAAACATGAGGTAGACAAATCCTCCAGAAGCGTTGCGAGTGTCATGCTCAAGGAGAAAAAATATGAGGGCTGTGGTCATGTAACCACTGGAGGAGTTAAGGCTACTTTTCTCAAAATTGGAGAATAACTGCCTGACAATGTTGTGCAGGTTTCTGCCACACAACAATGTGAAGTGGCCGTGAGTATACACGTTCCCTCCTGAACCTCCCTCCCACCCCCACCCCTCGCCACCCCTCTAGCTTGTCACTGAGCGCAGGTTGAGCTCCCTGCGTCATAAAGCAACTTTCCACTTTTGTTGTTGTTTAGGCGCTAAGTCACGTCTGACTCTTTTGCGACCCCATGGATCGTAGCCCACCAGGCTCCTCTGTCCATGCGATTTCCCAGGGTAGAAGACTGGCGTTAGTTGCCATTTCCTTCTCCAGGGGATCTTCCCGAACCGGGATTGAACCCGCGTCTCCTGCACTGGCAGGCGGATTCTCTACCAATGGGCCACCAGGGAAGCCTCACGACTTCCCACTAGCTATCTGTTTTACATACGGTAATGTGTGTTTCAATGTCACTCTCTCAGTTCATCCCGCCCCCTCCTTCCCTGCTGTGGCCACAGGTTTGTTCTCTACGTCCGCGTCTCTATTCACGTAAGACCACTTTTTCAGGAAAAATGACCTTCTGCCCATGGGTGGATTCGAGATGATGAGTGTTGAATAATTTGTACACACTCATTAGGTCTCCCAGGCGTCATGAGCCCTTGTGTCTATATTTTTCTGGAAATACAGAAATGTGAAGATCTATTATTTGTGAGCTGTAGACTATCAAATTGATTATCACCAATACCTGTGAAAATTTTTGCTTTACATATTTATTCAAAGCCTGTAAGAATATACAACGCCAAGAATGAACCCTACTATAAAATATGAGCTCTGAATGAGAACGACATGTTATTGGAGGTTCATCACTTATAACAAGTGGTAACAAACTCTGATGGAGGATGTTGGTAACAGGTAGGCCAGGGGTATGTGGTATGTTTCTGCACGTGTAGAAGCCGGGTGTAGGTATCTGGGAAATCCGAGTACCTTCTGCTCGGTACTTTTACTGTGAACCTAGAAGTGCTCTAACAAATCAAGTTTATCACCAAGAAATCCTTGTTGACAGAACATTTAGGAAGAACTTATGGAAAACCACATAAACTATATTTGTATTTTCTCTCTGTTCTACAAAGACAGGAGATCATACCTATTTTGTTTAGCATTGTACTCAGTGACTAGAATCTGATCAGAATGCCACACATTAAGATGCATAAGGCTATGACCCACATCCCAGAATATTAGAAACAAAAGCAAAAATAAACAAATGGGACCTAATGAAACCTAAAAGCTTTTGCACAACAAAGGAAACGATAAGCAAGGTGAAAAGACAGCATTCAGAATGGGAGAAAATAATAGCAAATGAAGCAACAGACAAAGGATTAATCTCAAAGATATACAAGCAACTCCTCCAGCTCAACTCCAGAAAAATAAATGACCCAATCAAAAAATGGGCCAAAGAACTGAACAGACATTTCTCCAAGGAAGACATACAGATGGCTAACAAACACATGAAAAGATGCTCAACATCACTCATTATCAGAGAAATGCAAATCAAAACCACAATGAGGTACCATTACACGCCAGTCAGGATGGCTGCTATCCAAAAGTCTACAAGCAATAAATGCTGGAGAGGGTGTGGAGAAAAGGGAACCATCTTACACTGTTGGTGGGAATGCAAACTAGTATAGCCACTATGGAAAACAGTGTGGAGACTTCTTAAAAAACTGGAAATAGAACTGCCATATGACCCACCAATCCCACTTCTGGGCATACACACCGAGGAAACCAGATCTGAAAGAGACATGTGCACCCCAATGTTCATCGCAGCACTGTTTATAATAGCCAGGACATGGAAGCAACCTAGATGCCCATCAGCAGACGAATGGATAAGGAAGCTGTGGTCCATATACACCATGGAATATTACTCAGCCATTAAAAAGAATGCATTTGAATCAGTTCTAATGAGATGGATAAAACTGGAGACCATTATACAGAGCGAAGTAAGCCAGAAAGATAAAGACCATTACAGTATACTAACACATATATATGGAATTTAGAAAGATGGTAACGATAACCCTATATGCAAAACAGAAAAAGAGATACAGATGTATAGAACAGACTTTTGGACTCTGTGGGAGAAGGCGAGGGTGGGATGTTTCAAGAGAACAGCATCGAAACATGTATATTATCTAGGGTGAAACAGATCACCAGCCCAGGTTGGATGCATGAGACGAGTGCTCGGGCCTGGTGCA